CTTTTTTTTTTTTTATAGCCACTAGTTATTATTTTCTAGGAGTAGATTCACTGTACTATTTCTCTACAGCTGTTTGAAATAAAAATTTTGACCTCGCCAGTTTTACTGATAACTGGTTAAGTCCATATTGCTCTATTTATACAGAATTTTCAAAAAGGCTGAAAAATTTTGTGCCAATTCAGGCTGACCGTCGCCCTAGCTTATGTAGAACAAATTATACATCTCTTCCCCATGTGCAGAAAAACTCGATAAGATCGACACATTTACTATTCGAGGTTCTCGTCGGTATATAATTCTATATATCGCAAAATTCTTCTGATATTTGCTTTTTAAAGCACTATTAAATCTTTGTTTATTTATATAAATACTTATACTTTAGCCACTAAAACCGATTTGAATGTGTGTCAGTTTGATTCGTCCCCCCAAAAGGGTCTTACGCTGTGTCTCAGATCGATATTCTCCCGTCGAAACGAAACCCACAACCTACTAGGTCTCAGCCGCCTATGCATATACTTTTGCATTCCCTATTATATTAATATGAAGACTAGACGTTCCTTGACAAGCGGTAGCTTAATCACTCCAGTTTACGACCACTTGTAGTATACCTAATGTCTTTTTTTATTGGCCACATGGTTAAACTCAATGCTGATCAAATACTAAGTGTTTCAATATGCGTGCGTTCCTACACATGTTCATACATAATAAATTGTAAAAATGTTGGGTTTCGAGCTATAGAAATGTCCACACAGTAACAGACAGCATGTGGCATCTTTAAAAGGGAATTATCTTGTACGTATTTTGTATCTACGTGTAAACGAATCGTTGCCGCGAGCCAATGATTAGACTGAAGTGTGCGTGCCTGTGATACTGCAATGAGGACCGTGCTATTTCTCAGGGAAACGTTGTGCGGTGCTAAATTCGAATCCTCTTCTAGAGATAGCTTATTTCGTATTAGGAGCCAGCCGTCTAGAGTGACGTGCCCTTAATCATAACTCTAAGTGGTAGTGGATACAGCCTGAGATCGTCGAACAGAAAGATGGTTGACAAAGCTCTGTCGTAAATCATTTTACGAAAGTGTTGCCTCCGTGTAAATTTTCGATTTCTTCCCATTCTCCTTGTGTTAAAAATAAGTTACTCGCTTACCGAGAATTTCACTAAGAGATTCGATTTTAACTTCGCTCCTCTTTTGCTCAAAACATTGCTCGTTATCAATGTTGTAATCGAACATTTTCATAAAACACCTCTAGGCTACTTTGTAAATAGGTAAAATTTTCACTGAACAATTTATCCATATGTTCCATACATATGGATATATGTACACATCTATCGCGAACGTTGTGCGTCTGTAAACAACTATATTCAAATATTACATACGCTAGTTATACATACATATTCAGAGAAACATCACGTTCAAGAAGAAAAATTGATCAGCTGCTGCAGTAGTATAAACAACCTAAAAATGTAGCTCTTTGTGGAAAAGTAGTTATGCAATAATTTGCCTAGTGATACGATAAATGCTTGCACACCTCAAATAATTTTAAGCATAAACTCTAGTTATAGACTGATTTTTAAGCAGCACAGTGTTGTCTTTACTATGTAGCTTTCTTGCGTACAGAGACATAGGTGCATTGCTATATCTACTGTCATCTATAGGTGCACCAATACAAGATCTACCAATAAAAGTAGAAAGCAGCATATTGCTATTGTCGTTCTGAGTAGTCTTCCATCGCACAACGGAACGATAAACATAGCGTCAATTAGTACTGAGTCACCGTCACCAGGTCCCTTTAGAGATGCTGGTCAGGTTTGTAGCACCATTCACCGTTCTGCTTGATGGGCATCGAACAGCTTCATACCAATTTCAGAAACGAGAGTCTGAAGACGATAGCACGCAGCTCGCGACCTGGAAGCAACGCCTATTCATCACAACGCCGTCATGATGCTGATTGACGATGATTGGAGCGTCGACGGTTACATGGACCCCGACGCATAGACTCTACGATAGCAGGCTGGCAGCTGCATTGAATAGGTAAGCGAAGAGTCAAGCGAGGGGAAATCGTTTTGTCGTCTCGGCTCACTCACAGATACGCACACACTAAGATACCCTATGCCATTGACACGAGTATACATGCGTGCTGCATCGACGCAAGCGCACCGCGTTTCAGGCCTGCCGGCCTGCCTGCCTGCCTGCCTGCCTGCCTGCGTCGAAGAAGCCTAAGAAACAGCTACTGCGCTTACGTGCTCATGTGACACAAGATCGAAGAACTACCTCTTACTGCTAGCATCGTATATATATCAAACTCTTTATTTGGCATTTTCTAATGCAGTAGGAAGCAGGCAAATTATTTCAATAAAGGGCAACAAATTTGTAACCCTAATGCTAACTCTACTAACACCATAGTGTTGGTATATGTTACAGTTGCGACAACGACTACTTCGCTCATACATATGGGTTTATTGACTTATGTGAGAACATTATATAATACGCTTAGAAATGGCATCGAGGTGCCCCTTTTACGAATCTTTAACACCGTTGAATACGCTCTTCGCTTGAATAACTTCGCGTATCTCCTGCTGCTCAAACATATACCGTCGAAAGGCCTTTTTCAAACTGTCCGGGTCTAGCCAGTACGCGTAGTGGTTTTATACATATGTTTCTTTAAACTTCATGATCACAAGATACCGGCTCGTATTCGCCAAACAAAACACAATACACATTCAGGGAAGCAAACTTAAAATAGTTTGAGTTACACATAGGGGGTTGCTGGTATGATGAGATATCGAATGCAGCGTAGTGAACTTTTATGGTTCATACAAACACTGCTGAAGCAAAGTCTATTGATTAAGGATTGTGTAGCAATCGTACGTACCTGTCGTTTGCGCGGCTAGTTAAGCCGGGCGAAACAGGTGATGAGGAAACTGGGTTTATTGGCGCCGAGTAACGCAGGTTCACACAGCAGTGACCCGCACAACATACAGCTTATAAGTGAACTTTTGAAAAAAGAAGTATGGTTACTTCTGCACATACACAATGGGGGAGCACAATATACCTGGTTGAGAAGTTAACATCAAGTTGTTTTATAAATTGTTGTTTAATAAACCACAGATGTCCTTCGACCGAAATACTATCGAATATTTCATTTATAAATGGTGCATTTAGTTGACTGTAACGTTCTGGTGGTAGTTGCAAAACCCCAGAAGATACCATTTTACCACTGAAAAGTAATTATACATCTTATGGCTAAGATACTTTAAGTCTATGTCTATAATTCCTAACTATAAAATCTTTCGTTGTTTTGTCCTTGGAGGTCAATATAT